TTACAGCCATATTTTTCAAAAAATCCACATTCAAATCAAAATAGCAGACTTCTTTTTTCCTAAAATCCACATTCAAATCAATATAGCCGACTTCCTGTTGGTCGTAGCTAATGATTGTAAATTAGAAAGTTGTCCGGCTTGATGAGTTCAATGTATGTACCAAGTTTGGTGACTGTAGCTAAAACTAACCCCCAAGTTTTGTCATAAGGTGGCGCTATAGAGTGCCTCTTCCACGCCCTTTTATGAGCTTTTCCCAGTGTCTATCTATAATTATTACTGACATGTGTGTTGCGTTTCAAGAAATTCTAAGCATGTTATCTGCACGAAAATCACCGGAAAAGAATATTCAAGTTTGACACGTTGCCATGGCAACAAAATTTTAGATATCAATATCCCCTCAACAGTTTTACATCGGCCATGTTTTGACATTAATCTGCTGAAGTTTGAAGCAAATCAAGTAAAAATAAGAAGCTGAATTCAAAGCATTTTGAAAATGACACACTTCCTGATGCCAGTTGGTGGCGCTATGACTTTGACTCCTAATAGTCACATGTATGCGATCGGCATCATACAACGAAAAAAAAACCTGAAGTTTGATCAAAATCAGACAATATGTGCAACAGTTATTAGACACATCCTGTTTCCTATTTCTCGCCATAACTTCGTCGCCTCGCCACGGCCAAACCGTTCGAGATATCAAAAATCCCTCCGCAATTTAGCATTCCCCATGTCTTGAAATCATGTTCACCCAGTTCTGTGGCAATCGATGAGAAATTCTCAGAGGAGTATATCAAATTCCACAGCATGCCCTTTTTAAACAGCCCTGAATAGCCAACTTCCTGTTGGGCCGAGCCTATGACATGCAGCGCAAAAGTTGTTCGGCTCAATGAGATCTATATGTGTACCAAGTTTCATATGAATGTGTGCAAGCATGTGTGAGCTATACATCAAGATTTCAGACTGTGTTCCAGGGGGCGCCGTAGAGCCCCTGTGCCACGCCCAGGTCCCAGCCTCTGCGGCGTCCTAATGGCCGCAGGTTCCAACGCGTGTACAAATTTTCAAGAGTTTTTGAGGGGGCGCCGTAGAGCCCCTCTACCACGCCCAGGTCCCAGCCTCTGCGGCGTCCTAATGGCCGCAGGTTCCAACGCGTGTGCAAATTTTCAAGAGTTTTTGAATATGTTAAGGCCCCCAAAAAGCCCCGGAAGGTTGGAAAAAAAAAATATATATATATATATAGCTGCAAGCAGCGATGGCGGGCCCAAGCCGTTAGTGCAAACGCCACCCCGGTGGCATCAGGAGAACGGTGCACAGTGGGCACATGCATTTACAGTAACCCTCTGGCAGTCTGGTTTTAAGGGATACGGCAATTAAAGAGTTAATCCGAACCATATAGACACATACACACAACAATATTTAAAACTTTGGTAACACTTTCAATAATGTTTCAGTTATTAACTTAAAACTATGTTAATTAACATGAACAATAATTATGTAGCATTTAC